TTATTCAAAGATTTTTCTCATTGGAAAATTCTTTTAAAGTTTGTTTGTAACCATAGCATGGATGTTGGATTTAATTTGATCTTTTAGAGAAAGGGAAAAAATTGGATTTCCTAATTTCATATTTAGAAATTTCTGATCAACATTCTTGAAATTGGTGCTAATTAAGCTTCTAAAAATTTCTTACTATTTATTCTGTTTTACCCTACTTAATCGTAAGCATTAAAACCTTTGGAGTCCCTGTTTTAACTTGAAATGACTTAAAGTAGAAATTTTGTTAGCTTTTTGTGTGTTTGGATTTTGTGTGTGTTCTATTTTTAACTTTCAGCTTGAGTTTTAAGATCATCAATCAAAGGCTTTTCTTTCAAGTCAGTGGCACTGATCTCAATTGTAGGACTTAGACAGCCAGCATTTCCCTTATGCTATTAAAAAAATTTAAGCATTGAAATAGAGTATTTTAGGAATTTGTGCTCTGCTGATCTTTTCATCACACATCTACATTTTGAAATGAACAAATAAATTAGATATAAGAAACTCAGGAAATGTTCTCCCACTGTTTCCCCATCTCTCCCTCCTTCACAACAAAGGTAAATTATCAACTGCTGTACTAGCTTTCAGCAAGATACAAAGAGGCTGATTATAGCTCTATGTATTTTAAAATCCATTCATTTACTCAGGCTATCTCTTTCCTTTATTTAAATGTTTTCCTGCACACATTTTCTTTTTCCTTTTGAACTATTGAAAATGTGTCTCATCTCCCAACATTCTGTAACCCCAGTGGACATTATAATCAGTCTGTGCTTTTGTCCTTCAGATGGTATTTATTTGTGGGGTATGTATGTCTGTGTCTGACTCTCGGTTGTTTTCATCTGCTGAATACAACTAATTTTTGTTTATGGGTTTCAATGAAAACAAAGTATTGACATCCAAACTGATGGCTGTTGCAGGATCTTATACACCTCCCTACCCACACCCCACGTTCAGAGCAAATTGGCTTAGCCTTATTATAATCTCAGTTAATTGCATCAAATTGAGTCTTCAAAGTTTTGCTTCCAAATAGGATTCCATGATGAATAGATACTATAAATTTAAAACTTTACTAGGTTTTTAAGAGAACACCTCAGTTTCAGCAGAACATAATCCATTTTCTCCAAATGGGAGCAAATCCCCATGATGGGCCTTCTTACCAGAGGATAATTTACATTGGATGAAATGAATCCAAAGGAGACCAAAATGAACTCAAGATTTTCTTTTGCAAGTGAATCCAGTGTTAGGTGTGTGGATTTCATGTTTGGTTCATACTCAGAGGCTTGGTATCTCCTTGTAGGCAGAGCTTTGTAGGTATTGCCTTTCTACTACTACACTGTATCTGGCGTGTGATACATGCATAACTGAAAGGTTGGTGCAACTGTCCATCCTCCACGCATCCCCCCACCCCCTCTGCTCTTAGTCTTCCCACATGAAGTATCGTTGATTTTGTTAGGAAGAAAAGCCCTTTTAGAAATTGCCTGTTTCATAAATTGTCTAGTGACACAAGGGGTTGAATGCTGAATTCTTGTCTCATTTATTTTGAAAACTTTGCTACTGAACTCACCTTAATCAATGAACTCAGTGTTGTCTCCAATAAGTTATGTGTTGGATATATTGATTGGAAAGGATTTTAGAAAACCCGTCTGGGGTTTATAATGTCAGCAGTGTTTTGATTATGAAAGGAGTTGGAACCTAGGGACATGGAACCAGGTGGCGAATGTCCTAAAGCCAGTGGTGACATGGTGGACTGGTTCCCCCCTGGGATCTAGTTCATGCCCTGTACTTTCACTGTGGTGACTGGCTACTATAGATTCACTTTTTTTGCTCATTAAAATGTTAAAAAATCAAACTGTACATAAAAAGATTTGTGAAAATAGAAACTTGGGAATTGATCTGGAGAGCTGGCACAATTTCCCCCACCCCCCTTGCCTTAGCAATGAGGTCATTTACATTTCATCAGCCGTACTGCATCTTGAAGATCTGATTTATGTGGCAGTAGTTGAGGTTGTACCGAGGCTGGTGTCTGAAAGAGCTTGTGTAGGCAGGAGAAAGAGTGGAGAAAACAGGAAAATTATCATTTACAAAGAAAGTTCCCTAGTCAAAGATACTGATACTGGAGAGAAAAAAAGGGGTTGCTAACTGCTTAGTGACTTTTTCCAGTAAAGTTAATATTGAAAGGCTCTGCCATAAATAACAATGCTCAAAATATATTTAAGTCAGGGTTTTGAAGTGCCCTCTCTTGGGGAATGATACTTTTCATATTCAGGTAATTGTGTTTTTCTTTGGAAATAGAGGATAAGGTAGTTAAATGTGTATATATAGGCAAAAAAAATCAGTACTAAGAAAATTGGTTTGTTTCAGCAGTTTTTATTTATAAGAAACATTGCTTGTTTTCCCCTTTCTCCTTATCAAACTAAGAAGATTTTTCAGCTCTGATTGAGATGATGTGTGAATATGCCTAACACAGAGTAGATGTTCATTTTGGTTTTCTCCTCTGACAGCACACCACTGGCTTGTTTGACTTAAATTGGAAAATCAAGCTCTTGTAATATCACAAACATGAAGAAACATATTGTAAGGCACAAACATGTGCCTACATTTGCCTGTATTCCCTTCCCTCCTCCCTCTTCCTGCCCCATTGCTTAATTAGACTTATCACTGCTTTCTTGGGTAAAAGGAAAGCTCCTGGGAGGTAGGTTATACCCAGCCTACATTGGGTACTTTGATATTTGTTTTAATATTATCTGACAGACAAGTTCACGGTTGGTTATTACTCTTGACATTAGAAAGTGGTAAGTAGTTTCTATATTGTAGTGAGTCATAAGTTGGTCATATTAGATTCCTTTGACTCTGCTGTAGAGCACAATGCTTCCTCGGAGCCATGGGGGTCCTTTCTTTCAAAAATCTTGAGGCCTTTTGGCAGCTCCACTCCAGCATAGAGTAGAGAAGCACTTCTGCACCTGTCACTTCTGAGGGGTAGAGGATAACTGTCTTTGTAGCTGATGTTGGCAGTGAGTTGAGCACCGAGTACTGAGTTTTAATGGATGCTCAGTACATATTCTGAAGTCAGGAAATGCTTTGTCGTATCTGAAACTTGATGTGAAAGGAAATTTGTAAGGAATTTCTTTTTGCATGTTAATCATAAGAGTTTTGTGTATGTGAGAATATGTTTTAGAATTAAGACTACAGACGTTTAAAATGAATGATTTCTATAACCCTTTCCCCTATATTTGCCTGATACTAAAATTATGCAGAGAAATGGCTCGTTTTTCTGATTCTCAGTCGCTTTTGTAATTTATGTAAACATAATTAGTTTTAGAACAATATGTACAGACTTCTGGGTGCCACGTTATGGAATTAACTGATGTATCAATAATGCCTATAGAATGTACTGAAGTATTGTTATTTGCTCTTTTACATTTTTTAGTTTCCTCAGGTTTACTCTTTCATGACATGCCTTAACAGTGCTGATATACATAGTACCAGTCCAAGATGATATTAAAAAATAGGATATGCTCAATTGAATTATGTAGGCGGAACATGCTCTGGCAGAGCAAGTCAATGTGCTTTCTGCTTCATTGAGTGGGTTATTAGATTGATGTGGTTTATTTCTTGAATGATAGAACCAGTTTTAAAAATAAATGAAGCGAGAAGCATCAATTCAGTTAGCATTGATAATTCATTATTATTGGTTAGAAAAGTGCTACATTTGTAAACTGATCTATAATTTATCACTTGGATTAGGATTTGCAATGGGCAGGTTTGTTTTAATTTGAACCAGCTTCTCAATGACTGAACAATATGTTCTTCATTTTGTCTTGAAGTTGAGGTTTTAAATAGTTAAAAAGTCAAATGTATGAAAGGAATACTTTTTTAAAATTTATAATGTTGGTCTGTGAACTTATGATAAACACCAACTGTGGGCTGTCCAAGTCTGCAGTTAAATGAAGTTGAGCTAGAGAGAATTTTATGAAGGAAGTAATAATTACTTGTATATGTGTTAGCTATGTGTGTGTGTGTGTGTATGCCATATATGTGGAAATGTGTCTCTTGGGAAGTCTCTCTTTCACACACACACACACACACACACACACAAACATATAGACACAAACCCTGTGCATGTTATGTCTCATATAGTGGTGTTCTTAATGCAGGAAGCTTCTCTTTTATGAATAAGTCTTTGAAATATTGCTGTGCGTTTTGTTTCCTTTTTGTACACTTCCCCTGAGTAATGCATTTGGTCTTAGTACTTACATATTTTAAAAAAGATATTTAATCTCATAGTTAGCTTTGGATTTTCACAAATTGCAAGCAGGTAAGTGTGCCCACTTATAATGACATTTAATTGAAAATAGTGCATATTTAAAATTGTTATTGTTTGAGTACAAAATAAATTTATGCCAGAGATGTCAACTTCTTTAAAAGTAAGGAAATGAAGTTTTAAACTCTAAAAAATGTAGTTGACAATGTTCAGAGACAATTATCTTCAAGTTGGCTTTCTGTTCTGCCTGTGATTGGGCCTATTGATGTAGGGAAGTGTTGTCTAATCCTGGCCCCCTCTGTTCCTAGGTAACAGGCAAAAACGGTGCCAGCAAGAGCGGCCCTGCCAGGCCAAACCCATGTGGCTCGGTGTTATTCACTCTGATCCATATGGTCAGGCTGGAGATGGTCCCTAGAGGGGTGTTAACACTCAGCAACCCAACCGCCTCCCTCCCTTCAGAGCTTCCCTGCGTGGCTCCTGCTGTTTGCCCATGTGTGATTCTTGATTAATTTTTCATTTTTAATGAAGTTTGATCATGTTTATTATTTCTCATGATTGACTGCCTGTACTCCTCCCATGTAATTGATAAAGCCCATATTTCTTCATCTGTCTCCTCTTTCTTTAGGGTAAAGTTGCTAGATTGTGTGCCGTGGTTAATGCTAGATTTATTGGTCCCATTAGATGTATAAATTATCTCTCTTTCTCTCCACAGGAAGTTCTACAGACTTTGACCAAGTTTTGTTTCCCCTTCTATGTGGACAGGTAGTGTCAGATTTTCAAACTTTACTAGAAAACAAAGTGTCAATAAGCCTGCTATGGAAAATAAAAACCATACCATTCTTAACATTCCGTCTGTTACCAAGATTTAAAATGTCTATGTTTGAAGGAGAGTTGCTGTATTCTCCTTTCCTGGAGATTTTATTAACATTATCAAAAAGTTTAAAGCTTAGAGCTTTGCATTGGTTACTCTTTGAGGTGTATTTCATGTGACGTTAAATTTTTGATTTTGGTTATCAGACTTGAACCATGATTAAGAATGGTTGGTATTCAATGCTATTTCATTTTTATTTAAATACGAACATATTTAACTTAAGTAATGTTGCATTATTCCATGGCCTTATGAGTATTATATGGACTTCATTTTTCTTTGATTCAATGTAAAATTTAAATTAGCACAGGCCTATCTTGTTTAAAGGTGTTCAGCTATTTAAAAGGCATGTTGCTAAATAAGTCTTGCATTATAGGTGGCTAAGAATGGTATCTCTGGGGAACAAAGCATTTTCTCTATATTCTAGACAAAAATACAAAATTATCTGAACATTTCCTTAGATTTCACATTATGGTAAGCTCTTGGAGAAGTATCAGTGTAAGAGTTCCAAGATAGTTAAAATAGTCTGGTGGTTAAAAAAAAAAAAAAAAAAGCCATTGGTTAATGGTAGCAATTGTGGAAGAGCTTTTTTCTCTCTTTTTTCTTTCTTTCTTTCTTTCTTTCTTTCTTTCTTTCTTTCTTTCTTTCTTCTTTCTTTCTTTCTTTCTTTCTTTCTTTCTTTCTTTCTTTCTTTCTTTCTTTCTTTCTTTCTTTCTTTCTGATTTTGTTTATTCATGAGAGACACAGAGAGAGAGAGGCAGAGATATAGGCAGAGGGAGAAGCAGGCTCTATGCAGGGAGCCTGATGTGGAACTCAATCCCAGGTCTCCAGGATCACGCCCTGGGCCAAAGGCAGACGCTCAACTGCTGAACCACCCAGGCGTCCCCCTTTTTTCTTTCTAAAAGAGAACTGTAAACTATAAAACTATCATTTACTAACAATATTAATAAGATGTCACAACAGTTCTCTTAATCTTGTTTTCAAGAAATGTCTACTATGTGCTTCATTACAGTCTAAGCATGATTTTTGCAGCCATTTGTCCACTTGATAGTTTATTCTTTTTTAATTTTCTCTTAGAGAATTGAACTATGAACTGTGCTACATTATGTCTTTAAAAGTCCACTTTTAGTGACACCGATTTTTAGGAAATATCATAAGTAATAACTGCCATAATATGTTCTAAGAAAGCTATAAAATGGCCTATCTTTAGAAAGACTCTGTCTTGTATTTTCATGTACCCAAACTAGGCAGACCTGAAGGATTTTAGTGGTTTAGAGTACACGTGGGTAGTGTGCTGCTTGGTCTTTTCTACTCTTTGTAGGAGTGGTGTCCTGCTTTGTTTGGCAGAAACCTAAAAATGGTGTGAGATGAGAATTGGTAGCCAAAGGAGTCTAAAAGAGTACTAAAAAGCAAAAAGAGTATTAAAAAGCAGCACTGGAATGTTGCCAGCCATTTTATAATCACTGTTTTCCCTGGTTCGTTATTTTTAAGCCAATCAGCCATTGTAGTATTTCCAGACTTGGGCTTTTTAAAATCCTAGTGCCAGGGTTGTTTCAGTAGTTAGTGGGTTGATGCTCAAAACAGAATAGCCTTAATTTTAAGAGGGTCAGTCTTTGTAATGAGAGTCTTCTTTATCCTATTCCTTCTAAAAATAGCAAGGAAGTAGGGTTTTGTTTAGAGACATTTAATGCAAACTTCATATTTATATGTATGAATTAGTGATGCATGAAATTTCCTCCAGTCGCTTATAAAATGTATTACAAATTATGGCAAGGGCATATTTATATAAATTAATAAAGCTGAAATGTTTTTAAAATGCAGTTAGATATCTAACAAAGAAAAATAAGAGAATACATTTTTACATGACTTTTGGTAAGAGTGGTAATCTATTTTGGATGGGTATTCCTTAATTAACTTTGTAAACTAATATTGAAAGAAATGCACAATGAGATTAAATCCACCCCAACACACACACCTTTCTCTTCTTCTCTCACCAACCACACTGCTCTATTTACCTACCTGTTTGAGTGATTACATTCTTAAATGGAAAAGGCAGAGTCCTTAAATAGTTTTAAAATCTTTGTCACCGATGTCCTGATGCCTTTTTATTGTTTTTGGTTTTTTAAAGATTTTATTTATTCATGAGAGACACACAGAGGCAGAGACATAGGCAGAGGGAGAAGCAGGCTTCCTGTGTGGAGCCCAATGTCGGACTCCATTCCAGGATCCCAGGATGACTCCCTGAGCCAAAGGCAGACGGTCAACCACTGAGCCACCCAGGCGCCCCTGCCTTTTTATTGTTGTTAGACAAATACTTTTCTTTTAAGATGCTTCTCTCTAGATCACCCTCCCTTAATTATGTTTCTCATATTTTTTTCACAAAATGATTTGGGACAGAAATGTACCTGTATGGATCTATCTTAATCCTTGCCTTATACAATGATTCTTTCTTACATTTTGTTATATTCCACACCCTACAGGTGCTGATAACTTTTGATACAAAAAATTCCACTTTATTTGGGGACTACATTTTTTCTCTTCTCTTTCCCCACTTCTAACCTTTGCATACTTTCATGTAGAAGAGATAACAAACTTACGATAAACACAAAGGTTTATTTATAATAAACACAAAGGTTTTAATGTTACCTTTTTGTTTGTTTGTTTGTTACTTTGCAGTTAGCACTGTCAAATGGCTATGCCCAGATTCTGGGGCCCACAAAGCCCCCCCCAGATGTATTTTTGATACTGTTTGCCTTAAAAAATATGTCAGCATGAGAGATGAGTAATGCCCTAGGTGATTATGTTCAGAAAAGAAAGCTTCCTAATCTTTTCAGTATCTGTGCTTTTCTACCCCAAGGAACAGTAATACAACTTTCTGACATTTCTAGTCTATATCAAGAGTGGGATTTTCACAGTCATCATCAAATCACCTGTTAACATTGACATCTTACTGTCTCTTGTGTTGTTTTAAGATTTTTCTTTCTGAAACTAGGACTTATGAAAAATAATAATGCCAGTAGCTCTTCAAAAGAAAGTACTTTCTCATGTATCACCTTATTTTATCCTCCTATCCTAAGAGATGAGAACAGGTATTATTATCTTCATTTGAAAAAAAAATCTAAGCTGCAGAGAAATTAGAATTTGCCCTAGGTCCCTTAGGCTGCTAGCACAACATAAACATCCGTCTCTCAAATGAATACATTTTTCAGTAGAACATGTTGGGGAAAGTTCCGTGACCAAATAGAGCAGAAAGGAAGGAAATTTGTATTTGAGTTCCTAATTGATTTTAGTCAGTGTGCTGGACATTTTCACATCAGTACTTCATTTGTTCTTCCCTGCAGCTCTGAAAGATAGATGATGGTGGTATCTCTTTTACAAAAGAGCAAAGGAAGGTTCCAAATGTGTAGCATTATGTTGGGTGATATGGAAATGGTATTAGACTTGGAGTTCTGCCCTCCATGTGTTTCTCAGTCTAGTTCAGGAAGTATTATAAATACACATTAAACAGTATCTCTCCAAAAGGATAGTGAGGTTAGGGAAGACTGAGGTGGTCACAGAAAACTTCTCACAGTGGGGAAGACTTGTGTTGAGTCTGCAGGGACCGTAAGAAGCGGGTAAGTGGAAGGGAGAGCCTAACACCCCATATGTGCTGAAGAGCAAAGCAGAGGAGAAACCATGAGTGAGCCTAGAGATTATTCAGCCAGAGCAGATGGAGCCTGCTGGGGAGAGGGTGACGTGTACTGTGATAGCTTGGGCTCTGGCTAGAGGAGGACTTGGGAATGTCTGGAAATAAGATGAAATTCGTGTGATTCCAAATGTCCCATTTTACAGAAGGGAAACCAAAATTTGTAGAGGTGAAGTGATTTGCTTATGATCACAGCTAAGTAATAACAGAGCTGGGAAAGAAACACTCTTATTCCCAGTGCAGAGTTATTTCTACATTATGTGGTCCTTGAGGCTCTTGGTGGAGAGGAGGCTTGAAATGACAGTGCTGAGATACCTGTTATCACTCTCAAAAACTTATTCTTACTGATGAGAGCAGTTTCTTAAAAAAGGGGGGGAAGAAAAAGATTTGTATACCATTTTGTACTGTGGTGTTACTTGCTTACACTTGGTAGCTGGCAACTTGCTTTAGTCAGAACACACAAGAGACTCACTGGAGGATGGAAAAGCTCTTCCTTCCAGGTTTGTGCTTATCTTTTTTGGAACCCAGCAAGTCTACTACCATTCAGTTGCCCTGTAAATCATCCTATATCCCAATACGCACAAATGACACGAGCACAAAATGAAATGACATCGTCTTTTAAGGGTCAAAGGAAGGCATAGTTTAGTGATTAAGGATGTAACCATAGATGTTGATGTGATTCACCTGCTAGTTACTGTTTTATTATGTCTCTGTTATGTGCCAGGCATTGTGTTGTATTCTCCTCCTGCACTAGAAGTTTACATTCACAAGCTAACCATTACTATAATGCCATATATGGGGAAAACGGGCTCAGAGGGGTCCAGTAACTTGCCCAAGACCCCGCTCCTAGTAGGTGGTAGAGCTGCTTTTGAAACCTCCATTTATCTGACTTCCATTTCTACCTTCCTTTTTCTACTTTATTATACAGCCTCCGTTGATCCGTCATAACTAAAGTAACCAAAAAAACTTCCAAATTTTCTTTCAAAAGCAACTTATATTTCTTGTAGGAAAGTAGCAAATTCTGATAAGAAGAAACCTACACAGAAAATGAAATTCATGTGTGTGATTGGTGTGTTAGTCTGGCTGCCCAGACTTTGCTCTTGTTCTACGTCTATATGTTCATCCTGTTCTGCTTTGCAAAATTGAATTCCTTTGGGCCACTTTCATTCTTGTGTATTTCATCCTTAGTTTGGTCCCTTTGTTTGGTCC